ATATAAATAAATATTATTATTATTATTATTATTATTATTATTATTTATACAACAGGGACCAAGTATACATGGTGAAACATCCAAGGTTGTGATGGCTGGCTATTTTTTCTTGTCTCGTACTCATATTTATTGCCTCAAAGTTTGCTAGCCTTCTTCCTGGTCATCTTCTTTGGCTCACAATTACAGTTTGTTGGCCTTTATGAATGGCAAATGATGGCTTCCTTTAAACTCTTTGCTAGGGCCTCTTGTTGTTGTTGTTGTTGTTGTTGTGTGCTTTCATGTTATTTCAGACTTTTTATGGTGATCCTAAGGTGGCGACCCTGAGGTTTCCTTGGCAAGATTTGTTCAGAGGAAGTTTGCCCTTCCCTTCCCTTGAGGCTGAGAGCAAGTGACTTGCACAGACATTTATTTATCATGGTGGTTAACAAACAAATTTCAATATAGGCCACATTGTTTTCCAAAGCTACAATGGGTAAAAATCAAGAGGCAGTGAATAGTTCTCAAATCCACATCACCTCACAATGTCTTGGGATATAACTTACCAGTTCACTACCATCGGCCATAGTAGGTGGCACTGATAGGAGCTGTAGGTGAAAATATCTGATAAATCAAAGGTTCCTCACACCTCCTTGAGACACCTTGACCTGTACATAGAGTCTAATTCAGAGTGAGCCTGAAGTTGCTTTATCCACAAAATCTTTAACTAACTGGTCAGAGAAGGTGACAGAGTAGACTTTATTTTTGGTGTGGATGGATATATTAACAATCCATTCATTGGACAAACAGTTCAGCTGAATGATGCTGAGTGTATACAGTGGTGGAAAAGAAACCAAATTTCCTCAGATTTCACAACATATACTTTAAAAGGAACTAAAGTTTGGAAACATTTTTGATTCTAATTCCTAGGATCCCCAGCTAAAGGATTCTGGGAATTGTGATCCACAAAAAAAAAAAAATTTTTTTTTTTTGAGGTCTGCTCCAAACCTTGTCTGGTCAATGAAATTCAAATTGTCTTTTACTTGTTGTACACCTGTTTTCCTTGCAACTATACCCTGGACTTCTGTGGCAAAATAATTGTGTGTTGTGTGTGTGTGTGTGTGTGTGTGTGTGCAAACATGCCTGAATCTGCTGTCCAGTGGATGTCTAGGTACAATATGTCAAGGTCCTGGGCAAGAGAGTCCTACTTGATGAAATAATGTTCTTATTCAGTGAGCTCATGAAATCAATGCTGTAAAGCATTATTACAGCCAGTGTGCTGTAATGGTTTGAGCATTGGATCACAGCTCTGGAAACCAGGTTTCAAATCCCTGCTTAAGTATAAAAAAAATCGCTGGGTGACCTTGGGCAAGTCACACACTCTCAGCCTCAGAGGATGACAATGGCAAACCTCCTCTGAAGAAACTTGCCAAGAAAACTCTATGGACCTTAACACACGGGGTCTAAAGCAGAGTTAATCCAAAGGGTACCTGTAGCTAAA